ACAAGTTTATGAGCTCAATATGAGTAATAATTGTGGAGCCATACATATATATGTAGATTTTTGTCATATTAGAACAAAAATGTCCAGTTTTGTTTTTTTTCTTATTTAGAGGCCCCCTCATATTGTGAGGCCCTAAGATGTAGCTTAAGTATTTTAGGCCTAAATCCAACACTGTGTGTGTGTGAAGGATTGCACCCGGGCACAAATAACCCAAACTAGTGAAGGTCCAGAGAAGGGCAACAAGGATGAGGGGTGCTATGGAGGGGCTTGTATATGAGGAGAGACTAGAGGCCAGGCCTGTTCAGCTTAGAGAAGAGAGGGGGAACATGAGAAGGGTTTACACTGGAGTGTGGACATGAGAAGGGTTTACAAAATACCCTTTATTATTACAAAACACCCTTTATTATACCAATTATTATTCATATGGAGCTCAGAAACGTGTGCAAAGAGAAAGTAGATCGGGATGTCTTGTTTATGCTCTCTCATAAGACAGGAGCTGGGGGTCACAGCGTGCCACGAGCAGGTAGGAAGGTTAAAGTGAACACAAGGACGTTCTTTTTTTCACCCAGCATGTCATTACAGCGTGGGACTCACGGCCCCCAGACGCGGTGCAAGCTGGCAGCTTAGCCAGAGCCAAGAAGGGACTGGACACGTCCTTGGAGGAAAGGGGCATCAAGTCGCTATTGAGTCGGGGAGTGAGGGGCACGGCCTCTGCATCAGAGCTTCCTAGCCCTGCAGTGCTGGAGCCTGTAAGTGGGAGAGGAACAGGGGGAAAAACCCTGCTCAGACCCAGTTCACCCTCCCTTTCAGCATCCAATCTTGGCCCGTATGGCACAGGAGACTGGGCATGCCAGACATGTGCAAGCGGCACTTCTGTTCTTACAACTGAATGGCAGCAGCCATCCCTGGAGCAGGGACACGGCCCCATAGGACATCGGGTCAGCACTCCTGCCCCTCATCTACCGCACAGCCCAGTTTTGTGCCTAGTCTAAACCACCTCTATTCCCCGCTGTCCGGAATGGGGCTTGGGGACCTTCAAGGGTGTTCACGGGGGTGTCCCGCCTGGCCGGACGTGGCTGTAGCACAGAGCAAGGCTTACCCTGGTGAGATGCATGCCACAGCTGCCTCCCTCGTGTCGAGCACGAGGGGTTTGCACGGCAGGAACTCCATCCTCGTGCGCTTCCTCATGGCTGGCAGGATCTCAGAGAGGGCCCTGGGAAAGATGAAGGCCTGAAAGGGCTCTCTTTCCCTGTCCTACCAGGACAAAAGCTCCTATTGAACGCAGCCGCCTTGGCGTGGTTCACCAGGGAGAGCTGCAGTTTACTGCTCGGTTTGGACAGTGTCCTAAACCAACACTGCAGCCTGAGCGCATCGGGCTCTCTTATTAGCAGCCCAGCTCGCTGCAGAGAGGAGCAGAGCCCCTTCCCTTCTCCCCCCACCGCGTCGCGGGCTGGTTTTTTAAAGGAGCAAAACAACCACTGAGTTTGAAATGAATCCAAAAGTTTATTTCAAACAAGTACATTGATCACGTGGGATGAGAGTGCGCACGTCACGAGTTCAAGTTTCCCTGTTTAAATAAAAAAAGAGCAAAAAACCCCAACACTTACCCCCCCCCCC